ACGGTTTTTATGCGCACGTCGGAGTAGACGTTGAAAAGCGGAACGGCGTGATTGGGAAAAACGGCCCTAGCGACCTCAACAATGACGGCATGAACTTGTGGCGGTTTTGTGCAAACAACGGATTGTCCATTATAAACACCTTCGAGCATCGAAAAGTGCATAAGTACACCTGGTACCGGGAAGCTTGTGCACAGAAGTCGATGATCGATTTGACAACCGTATCGTCTAATTTAAGTTGCTCAGTAATGAATGTTCGCGTTAAGATAGGCGCAGAGCTATTAACCGATCGTCACTTTCTTGTTGGCACGCTGCGCTGTAAGAAGCAACCGGAGAATCAGATGAAAACCATTGGCTTCGGTGAACACGAGAGCGAAATTTGCAGACAACATCGCACGACGGTTTGAACAGATCCCAGCGATGACAACTGATGTTGGACCGAGTGCAGCTGTTTAAGAACGGCATACTCGAGCCTGCCGCCGAATGCTGCGGATATAAACGGGTTGGCGTTCCGCCTCTAGCTCAGAAAAGACCTTCATTGTGGACACGAGAGGTAAAACTGACAGTTAAAAAGAGGAAAGCAGAGTTCAAGAAATGGCTTGAAAACAAGGAGCCATCTGCTCGCGTGCGATATGTCAAGGCACGCAGGGTGGCAGCCATGGCAGTGGCAAAAGCCAAAGCCGATTCCTGGGAGAAGTTCGGTGAGATGTTGGAGTCGAATTTCCACACGGCAAACAAAGTATTCTGGCAGAACATCGGCCGGCTCCGAGGTGGGATGAAGGTTAGTCTCAGAGTCTTGAAGGACAGATCTGGGCACCCTCTACCAAGGATGATGACATTCTTCGGCGATAGAGGGAGTACTTTTTGGAACTCCTTAACTCCGCGCAACCGCAGGAAGACTTGCCTGAAATGCAGCAGGGAACGGATATTACTATCGCTGTCGATGAAGTTATACAGGCTGTGAAAAGCTTGAAAAATGGAAAGGTTGCTAGAACTGATGAAATCCATCCTGAAATGCTAGACATCAAGCGAACAAAGCATGCGTTGGCTAACAAGTGTCTGTGAAACTGCGATGACTGGGGGAAAGACACCAGCGGACTGGAAACCGGGAGTTATTGTACCCGTATTCAAGAAGGGAGACCAGAAGGAATGCTCCAATTATAGGGACATAGCGTTATTGAGCCTTCCAGATAAAGTCTACGCAAAGGTGCTAGAAAGGAGGTGCCGTGAAATGGTTGATCTCAAGATCCAAGGAGAGCAGTGAGGTTTCCATCTCGATCGAAGCGCTTCTGACCATATATTTGCCCTGCGCCGGATTGTTGAGATATCGCGGGAGTAGGCCCAGGCGGTGTACATATGTTTTGTGGACCTAGAAAAGGCCTATAACCTAATTCTTCGCAGCAGTCTGTGGACATGCCTTCGTACATACGGGGCAGATAGCCAGCTGCTAAGGGCAACACAGTCACTGTATTCTGATAGCAGGTGCTGCGTCAGAGTTAATGGCGTTAAGTCGAAACCATTCAACGTTCGCACTGGTTTCCGCCAAGGCTGCGTCCTGTTCCCTATCCTGCTTGTGTTATACATGGATAGAATAGTCAGGCGCTGCCAAGGCGACGAGGGTATCGGTATAAGAGATGTTAAGTCGAAAAGGTTGCTGTTTGCAGACGACCTTGTTTTATTAGCATCTTCCGAAACTGATCTTCAGTGCTCCTTAGAAAGGTTCCCAGCGGAGTGCGACGTGACCTGCATTCGTGTGGACGCATCTAAAACGAAAAGCTTAGTGCTTTATCGTTCTCCTGCTTGTTGCGCTCTTCAGATTAACACATAGACAGTGGAGTAAGTGGAGATGTTCAAGTACCTCAGAACTGTATTTAGTAGTGATGGGTAATTGGAGGAAGAGATCGACCGGCGATCTGGAGTAGCTGGTGGCGTTCTGCATGAACTAGCCCGATCCATTCTCACTAAAGCAGAGCTCAGTCTGAAAACTAAGCTCTCCATATTCAAGTTGATCTTTATCTCCATACTTACCTACGGTCATGAATTGTGGACCATCGCTGAAAAACTTCGAACCCGGGTAGAAGCTGCTGAAATGGGCTTTCTTATATGGCTTTCTTATTCGTTGGCCTTCGCGTCTCTTCGTGGTCCGGAATGGTGACATCCGGAAGAGGCTTGGAATACAGCCTTTGCTTCTCCAGATTGAGAAGTCACAGCTGCGATGGCTTGGGCACGTGTTGCGAATGGCTCCAGAAAGGAAGGTGAACAACTGTTCCTTGCAAATCCGACCGGTAGAAGGCCCAGGCGACGGGCAAGGTTATCCTGGTGCAAACATATGAAAGAAGTTTGTTCCGGACTCCATTTGTCTTTTGCCGAAGCTCAGACTTCACCACAGAATCGGGAACGTTGGAAGCTCTGTTTGACGCGTGTGGCTTCGCGATACGAAAGGAAAAGCGGCGATGGAGCATGAAGAGTCTGTGAGAGCAGACTCTGAGAAGTGACAAAGGCGCTATTAGAGTGAACCGCCCTAACGACCTTAACAATGGTAGTATGAAGGTTTTGCGATATTGAGCAAATAACTGATTGTTATGAGCATCTTCGAGCATTGAAGTGTGCATCATTATACGTGGTGCAGGGAAGCTTGTGCACAGAAGCCGGTGATCGATTTGATAAGCGTATTTTACCATGCTCTTTAATGCATGTTCGCACAGAGGAGGTTCGGAGTTGTCAGGTTATCGTTTTCTTTTTGATGACAGCCCTTAACCGTAAATGATGCAGTACTCTGCGAAGACGTGGAGGCAGAGGAAACTAGTAAATCAAATCAGATACATTTTTTAATTAGATACAAGGGAAAACTTCGAAACAGCGTCGCGGGACGGTTTGAAATGATCCATGATGATCGCGGATGTTTGTATAGAATGCATGGTCTTTAAAGCAGTTTCATTTTGACTGCCGTCTGATACTGTAGTCTAAAAATTTGGGTTGGCCTATCTGCTTGTAGTCAGAAGGGAATTTCCTGGTGGGCATAAGATGCTCATCTGGTTGTCAGGAAGAAGAATCCTTCATTCTAGAAGTAGCTTCTAGGCAAGGAGTCATTTTCTTGAATGCGGTATGAAGAAGCGCGCAGAGGTGGCAGATTTCTGGACAAAAT